TCAACAGAATGCGAATATAGGGCGCTTGCTACGCTTGCCTCCGATGTTATTTGGTTACAAGCACTCTTAGCTGAACTTGGCAAATCTCCATCAGCATCCCCTGTTCTATGATGTGACAACCTCGACGCCACATATCTCGCTCACAATCAGGTTTTTCACACACGGTCCAAACACCTAGAGATTGAGTTCCACTTTGTTCGTGATCGGGTTAATAAGCAACAACTACATGTCCGATATCTTCCGGCTACTGATCAAATAGCGGATGTTCTTACGAAGCCTCTCACACGACAATCCTTCCACAGCTTCTGCTCCAAGTTTCACCTCTCCAAGGTTCCACTTGCGGGGGCGTGATAAGGGAGAGACATACTCGGCAACTACCTCCCCTCTCTTAGTTTATGACTGTTACGTTTCTGTTCTTCTGTTCCTAAGTTTGTGTTAGTGGAGAATTAGCTTCCTTAGGAATAGCTATTAGTTGAGAGTCTCATTGTATAAATACACATCAATAATACAATCACAACTCAGGTTTTCTGAGACACTTTCAAATCCATGACTTCTTCCCTGAGATGATAATATATTAATTTAATTAAAATATATTAAAGGACTTTCAGATTTCCACCCTCTCCACGTCAGCCTCGCTGAAAATTTAGCCTTCCACGTCAGCGTTCTCTTCTGCTATCTTTTCCCCCAATCTCTCCCGTCTCAACCGTTACCCTCCAACGAATAATAAATATGAAGCAGTTCTCTTAATATTTGTTTAAATAAATTATTAAGTAGTTATCCAGGCTTCGGTGATTGAAGCAGTTCCTTCTTGAACAACTTTGAAGTAGTTCCTTTGACATGAAATATTGTATGGATGCCGTTATATTGAAAATAGGAGATTTGATGACATCCTATGCGTCTGAAAATTGAGACTTTGAGAAGATCAGAGTCACATCAGACCTTTGCAATTTGAGGGCCAATACTGCGGCCACAGACTAACGCCGGTGCGGAGTTCGACCTCATCATCGGGTGAGTTTGCTGTTTGCGGCTTTCGACTAATGAAAGAGAAGACCGGCGCTGCAGTTTCTCAGAGCATAATCTGTGGTGGTCCGGATGCAGATGGTTGCCACCCTGCAGCGTGAAATCCCAATTAGTCACGTTGAGGTGAGGATCAATTTAATATAAAAAAACAGAGCCGGAGAAACAGGAGCTTGGTTGCATGGACAAAGGAAGGAAAATTGGAGACGGAATTAACAACGAATCCGTTCCCTACAATCAGAAATTGAGATAAGAGAAGAAGACAGAGAACTGGCTAAACCCAAAAATTAGAAAGCACCGCAGGGGATTGGGTGGGGGCTTCCCGACCGTCTTCTAGCATTCCGGCTGAACAAAATAAGTTTTGTCCAATGTCTCTGTGTGTCCAGCTACATTGATCTATACATGAGTTTCAATTTTACTCTTTACATAATTATATTATTATAATGTTTATTCATCTTTGGCCAAATGATATAAATGTTATCTAAATGTATGTTTTGAAATTGTAAATCAATACACTATACGAATGTATGAAGAATGTAATCATCTAAATTATAGGTCCTGTAAGTGGGAGAGTGTGGATTCATTTCTGTTTCGGGGAGGAAAACGAACAAATTAGATACAACAATTAACTGAGAATAAAAATTAAGCCATGTCTAATTGAGAATTGTTGGCCTTGCAAATATTTAATGTATGATTTGTTACAAATATGTTATTGACATATTTGTTAAGCATCTGTTAATAAATGACATAAGATCAATTATATAACATCACCCCATAACTTGAGTTATTAATAAATTACATAAGATCAATTATTTAACATCACCCCATAACTCGAGTTATTGATATTAACTGATTCTTGACCAACAACATCTTTAGAAAGTGAACAACTAATTAAATCATGTATAATTGCTTGGTAAATAATAGTGATATTCATTTTTAATTGTCATTTTTTTCAAATATAAAATTACAATAACATGGATGAATTAAAAAGTTAAGAAAAACTATTATACCATTTTTTCTAAATAGATTCATCTTAGACGTAATCCTAACCATGCCACTGATCATATGTACAATTAAATTTTAAAAATAGAGTATTGGTACATACGTACAAGAACATAACACTATACACTACAAAATACTCGAATCACAAATAAAACAACACATTAGTCAAGTGCTAACTACTAACCTAATTTGGTTACTTCAATCGGTTTGAAGTTTTACTTTAAGTTTAAATAGTTTTCCCATCACGCAAGTGAATCATGTAACCAATGTACCCAAATACATTGGTTATAATCAAATTGAACCGCCCAATGGACGGGTCCAAAGCTTAGTAATAATGGACATTAATAGCGCGCCGTAGTGAATTACCTCGTACATCCCTCATTGTTGAGGCTCCCCCGGCCGCCAACGTCGCTGGCTATTGCGGAATCGGCTCCAATCGTTCTTTAACTGACGGGATGAATGACGGTCAATCCCAATCATGCCGCCGCAACGTTCCGATAGGTCGATCACCACCACCTGACTGCCGCCAGCCCCAACCGTGCTCCGCCGCTTAAGTTGCGCTTTGCTTCCCTTTCTCCCCACGATGCAGTACATACATATGATGAAGATGTAATGGACGGGTAGTGGTGTTTGCTGTGGATGGGGAGGAGACGTGGATCGACTGGTGGTTCTCGGGAAAAGAAGAAGACATAGCGGTAGGGTTTTGGTTTCTTCCGGGAGATGTAGACTAACAAGGAGGGGAACGAGCTCCCCACAGTAACGTTTAGGGCTAGGTTAAATAAGAGTTAATTTTGCTTGATTATTAGAATTAAATAATAGAACTTAGTTTTAAGTTTAAAACCTAATGAGTAACGGGTGATACTGTAACCAAACCTTGATCCAACCCATTCATTTATTACTGGTCGAACCTTAACCCAAAAATCGGGGTGTTATAAATAGCACGCAGTCCCGAAAAATTCCAAAAATAGCACCCTTTCTAGAAAACCCTCACCCCGTGGTTTACACGAAAACCTAATGGTTACGGGGCGGTTTGGTCCAAAACCGCTGCCCAAGCCCAACCCTGCGGTTTGTGCCAAAAAAAAAAATCGATAACTCCTAACCTCGGCCGAAACTTCAAAGGAACGGAACTTTGCACTCAGGTATCCGAAAGCAATGATTTTTTTTTTGAATCCGCATAACTTTTCGAGATCTTGCAAGCTGCAAACAGCCAAAGGCGGTTTGGTCCCGCCTTCATCCCAAAAAAATATCGTTTGCTACCCCAAACGAGCTTTTTCCGATTTCGTCAAACTTTGGACGACTATAACTTTGTGCTCCAAAATCCGAAATTTATGATTTTTTTTTTCATTTCGCATAACTTTTTAAGAAAAGGGAAGGTAACGTTATTCTCAAAACCCTGTATATCCAATAATAATTCTTGTTTTGAAAATTACTTCCTAGTAAAAATTCTAGTCCTTCAAAAGTTATGTGAAATGAAAAAAAAATCATGACGTTCAGATTTTGGAGCACAAAGTTATGGTTGTTCAAAGTTATTGAGGAATTTAGCGTTCAATAACAAAAATTTGTCAATATGTATTTGTTTCAACAAAAGAGTTGTATTTTGATGGTGTAGATGTTCTACTGAATTTAGTTGACTATTTATATTATTAGGGTTCGAACTACCACCCCCACAACATGCCGCTTTTTTATTCTCTACTAAATAAAAAAATATAATATGAGATGATGGTGTTTCAAACCAATAACCTTTTTTGCATACAAAGAAACAACTGAACCAGTTATGCAAATCCCACTTATGGTGATTATTTGGGGGCGAAAATTATTACAAACCGCTTCGGCCCCATGCAGTCAGCAAAATCGCCCCCTACGCGTGCGGTTTTCGTCGAAAACAGCGCCCCACCCTGCGGTTTCGAAAAATGGTGATATTTTTGGAATTTTTCGGGACTGGGTGCTATTTTTGGTACTTTTTTTAAACAGTGCTATTTATGGAAAAAAGTCCATTATTTATAGGTTTTGTTGGAGGTCATGGATCGAGTTTGGGACACCCGAACCACTAGATCGAGTTCTACGCCCTCGATCAATGTCAATGGCTGTTCGGGATAAAGGAACTCGGACGACATGGATCGAGTTTTAAATACTCGATCAACTGTGGAGACGGGGTGACATCATCGATCCGTGTCAAACAGGTCAAATGGATCGAGTACCAAAGCCTCGATCCACGTAGATCAATTTTGGCGCACTCGATCCGCGTCAAAAGTGGTTCGCGGCGGGGGCAATCGAACGGACTGGATCGATTTTTTCAAACACGATCTAGTATGGAACACGTGTCATGTCATCGATCCTTGTCAACCAGTTCGAGGCCTCTCTCGTCTATCCACGTGGTTCGAGTTTACTAAACTCGATCTGCTTCATCCGTTTATAGCCAATTGTGGCCCTTTCACTCGATGCAAGTGCATCGAGGGTTTAATAATCGATCTGATTATAGTTCGAGTTTGGTGAACTCGAACCGTGCCAAACTTGTGTATTTTGAGAAATATTTATAAAAAATATGTATTGTAGGAAAAAAATTTAATATTTTGGGATCCACCATCTTCCATCTCCTTCTATCGTCCCTAGGGGTGGGCATTGGTTCAATCCGCACCGCACCGTGTTGATAAAAACCGCATCACACCGCAAAATAATTGGACCGCACCGCAAACAAGACCGCAAGTTAATTGGTACGGTCCAACCGATCCGCATTAGTTAGCGACTTGGTGCGGTTTGGACCGCAACCGCAAATAAAACCGCAGAAGTTATTAGAACATAGGGATAGCCCTTCCAATCAATTTCTGCATATCAATGTGGGAGAGCGCTCGAATCGGCTTCCAGTTCCAAATCCCTCCTTTCTTCTCTCCTGCTTTGCCGTCGTCCAGCTTCTTGCCATCATCAGGTTTGACGGTGGTTTTGACGGTGACGACGCCGTCGTCGTCGAGCTTGGGTCTGGAGCGCTAGGGGGACAAGGACATGCGCCTGGTGCGGGGGCGGGAGGCGGATCTGCTGTTTGCGACTGCGGCGTCGGAGGAGGGTTTGATGATTTCGTCAGTGGAGAGGATGGAAGGGAGTGAGGTTCTGGGGAGGGCGAGGGAGTTGGTTCTCCTGGCGCTGGAAGCAGTGTGGGTCTGGTAGAGGGATTGGCTGAGTGCTTCCAGCTCTTCCAGCAGCTGGGTGTTGGAGTTTCGCCTGCTGGAGGAAGGTGAATTGGCAGCGACAGCCATTGCGGTGGACGGTGGTTGTTATTAGAACATAGGGATAGCCCTTCCAATCATCTTTCGTCAGCCGCAGGTAATAACCAGTCCCAATGAATTTGATCACCGGATGACAGAGGGAGGATGAGAGACGGCGGAGTGGCGGAAAGTCTCCAAAATGGGTTGGGTAGAGAGAGAGAGAGAGTGCCTAGAGTGTTCAACTTAATTAGCACAGAGGTCCGAACAAATTGAAAAGGATGATGCAAAATGCAGTCAGATGGGTGATGCCATCAGGTTCAGTGAAGAAGGGCATGCACATGAAGGAATAGTATACTGGTGGATAAAATGAGGTTGCTATCAGGGCTGCAATTCCATCTGTCGTCTAGTCATAGTTTCATTTTCCTACAAAGTCTCATTTACTAAGACCATAAGATACAATTAACACTTGAACATTCTTCTCATCAATTTAGAAGAAGGGCATGCACATGAAGGAATAGTATACTGGTGGATAAAATGAGGTTGCTATCAGGGCTGCAATTCCAGCATAATCAACTCGAAGCATGATGTATGATATCCGCTCCGAGTGGCAAGATAAAAGGTGGCATATGCTACTGGCCAGTAAGCAGAACAAAAGCCAAATTTGGTCCAGAATATGAATATCATCATATTGAAGTGTAATGCAGGCAACCAGTAAGAGTAACTACCTCCTAATCCAACATTTGTAAACAACACCAAATGCTACAGAGTCAAAACTCCACCTTCAACAACCCCAACCATCCACCACATAAGTAAACACACACACACATCAAATCCCGCTTAAGAATGTAACCATAGTCAAGAAACTCACCTCACTAGATACCGATGCTTGAGCACGTTTTCCCTGCGAGCTTTTTGATTTCATTTTGCGGATAATATCTTCTTTTTCCCAACTGCTTGATATCGAATTTGAAAGAAAACAGTTAGAAACATGGATCTTTTAATTTCATAAGTGCTCTTTCAACACTAATTGGAAGCAGTTCCAGATCAAAATGGAAACTAAAATGAGGAGAGCAAGCAGAGTGGCATACGATTCTTGTTGCACCAGCAGCAGGTTCCTAATGGCGCTGGCCTTAGCGGCGGTGACGGTGATGACGGCGGAGTGGAAGAGCTGCGTCGGCAATTGCTTGGAGCACGAAAGGCTTGCTCTCTTGGATATCCATAGGTGTTTTCTCCCAATCAGCTGTACAAACAAAAACCCAGCAAAATTGCACAAAACCCATCACAACCTTGAATCCGAATTCCAATTCCATCATTCATTCCAAGCAAACCAGAAGAAACCAAAAGGCGCGAATTCAGGTTCCGGAAACCAAAAAAAAAAAAACCTGAGTGACGTCCTCCGCGATGTTGAGTCCTTCGATTTCGGTGACCTGAGGCTGGACGGAGACGGCCTTGCAGACCACCGGAGACTGCTGCGGTTGGGAAGAAGCTAGTTGCGACGACACAACGGCGTCGGCGCTGGAGCTATCGCCTCTTGGTGGTGCACGACGTCGTCGAGAGGCACGAATAGATCGGGAGTCGGGATGGAGGCGAGAACGAGTGTCGGGTAGGTAGTCGAGAGGGAGGAATTGTCGATGGCGCCGCCGACAAGGTCTTGTGGTGAGGAAGCTGCAGCCGCCGGCGAGGCTTGCTCTTGTGGTGAGGAAGCCGCCGTCGTCGGGAAGAAGAAGAATAGATCGGGTTGTGGTAACTGGTAAGGTATGAATTGAGATTTGAGAAACTCTCGCTGAGCTGGGTAGGGATTTAGTGGTTTGCGGTTTTGAACCGCAACCGCGCAGTTTCGGTCGACCCGTACCACAAAACCGCGAACCGCTTAGGATTAGACCGCAAATAAGACCGCAATCTTAATGGTGCGGTTTGGATTGACCGCATAAGCGATTTGGAGCGGGCGGAGCGGTTTGGACCGCACCAATGCCCACCCCTAATCGTCCCAAATCTCGCCAGATCAACAGCCACTCCCATCTCCTTCACCCAAAGCCACAACCCAAAGGCGCTCGTCGAGGAACCACTATCCACCATCTTCCATCTCTTTCGTCGTCCCGAACCCCGCTAGATCCACCGCCACACCCATCTCCTTCACCATCCCAAACCCCGCCAAACCCCTGCTCCCATTCAAATCACGGCGAAGCAAATCCTTCATTTTCCAGGCCGGCCTCACGGCTTACGAGCAGGGCATCGGCGATTGGAACCATCAACTGTTCGGATATGGCGGTGGTGGCGATATGGCAAATGGAAGAGAAGAAGATCTAGGAATCATAGAGTAGCGCCAGCATTTGCCCGACTCGTCCTCGAAGCTCAGCAGCAGCCACTTCTCCACCGCCTCGCCTCCTAGAGGAAAGTACCTCTCTGCGTGCTGCTTTGGAAGCCCCATCCTGTTCAGCTTCCCCACGTTTGACAGCATCAGCGACTTCTCGAAGGGGGTGGGTTTTGGTTTTGCCTGTGAGCGACGATGAACCAATCGGGGATGTGGTGGTGGTGGTGGGGTGTCGGCATTGCCCAATTGGAGGGGTGAGTGAGATTGAGCAGGCGAGACAACAGCGGCGACGGAGCACAATTGGGGATTTTTGTATTTTTTGAATTATTTTAAATAAAAAATAAATAAAATTTTAAATTTTAAATCAGATGCCACGTCAATGCTTGGAATTTCTGTTAAATAGTAACGGTCAATGCCGGTCAACTCTAACAAAAAAATAGTTTAGGACACAAATGTTATATTGGATACTTTAGCACACAAATGACACATTCTTAATAGTTCGGGTTTCCTTATGGTATTAGCCCTAAAATATATATTAGATATATGACTAATTACTTAACTAATTGATTTGATTTAATTGGTTTGGAGTTTCTGAAACCAAATCAAACCACTTACAACCAAACATGCTAAATTTTTTAATTAAACCAAACCAATTATTCAAATTAACCAAACCAAATTATCCAAATATTACCTGTTAAAAGGGTTACCACAATACCCACTTTGTTTAATACCCCTAGGCCCTAGGGTTGGCAACAGTTATAATTTTCCCTTTTTTGTTAATATTTTTTCAAATCAAATATTTTTCATGTCATGTAAGCATCCATGTCATAATTGACTAGGCTATCAATCAATAACAAAAAACTATCAAAACAATGAAAGTTTCAGAATACAAATGACAGAGTCATTAAAGATATTTTTAGTAGTATTAACTAGGGGTGAGCACGTGGGTGGTTAATCCGCAGATTGATATCGATCCACCCGCAAATAACTCTACCCACACGCAGTGGGTGATTGATGTGGGTGGATTGTGGATTGTTAAATATCTCACCCGCACTTATGTTAGTGGATGGTGGGTGGATTGCGGGTCACCCATATGACCCGCATTCTATTTTTATATGGAAAAATGTTGTTTCTTATAGTATCGAATATTCATCATATTTTCGAACTGCACTATAGTCTGACCATATACTTCAAAGGTGGAGAATAAAGAATAGTTTTGACTATTATTATTGGTTATTGTGTTCTGCAATATCCATTGGATATTGGATATTAGTATGCAAATTATTGTTAATGTCCATTAAATATTGGGATACAAACTATAAATTATTAATTGTATCAAAATCACAAATTATTGATACATCTTGCTAATTTGCTATGAATTTATTATAAATGTTAGTCAATTTTCTTAATGGTTAATTGAAGAATTGCTTTTGCGGGTTGACCCGCGACGCAACCGCACCCATCCGCCACCCACCCAAACCAACTCGCATAAGTATGTGGGTGGATTGCGGGTGGGCAGAGGTGGCAATTAGAATCCAAATCCATGAATCCAATCTAATTCATCCACCAAATTATCTACTTAATCCAATTCATTTAAATCCAATCCATTTGATCCAAATCCAATTGGATTGGTGGATTCATGGATCAATCCATAGATCTAAATGACAAATTACGATTTGGTAACTATATTTTTTATATTTTACATTTTGGTACCTAAAATTTATTTTTTTATACGAAAAAATCATTGGAAAATTACATTTTGGTACCTACAATTTTTCATTATGACATTTTAGTACCTAAACTTTTCAAATTTTACATTTTTGTCCATGCCTTGGATGTCATTTGAATTCATGGATCAATCCACCAATCCATTTGATATAATCCATGAATCCACCAATCCATTTGATCCATGGATCCACCAATCCAATCCACGAATCCGATCCAATTGCCACCTCTACGGGTAGGTCAATTTTTAGATCAAAATCCACCCAACCCGCCCATTGCCCACCCCTAATATTAACCCTATTTTATATTTTGTAAAATTTAACTAATAATTTAAAAAAATTTGAATGATTCAACTAAAATTGTATTTACCCTGGTTTTAACAACAAAACCTGCTCTTATTATCAAAAAAAAAAAAAAAAAAAAAAAAAACAACAACAACAACAACAAAACCTGCTCAGAGCCAACAAAGGACGTGTCTACTAGACTACTACTACCCTATCTAGTCTTCTTAGCTTTGGACAACTTCTTCTTTCTTTTCTTGATAGCCTTGGGGACTTTATTCTTCCTAGCTTCTCTCTTCTCTTCCTTCACTTTCTTCTTGTTCTCTTTCCTAGCAGCCCTTTTATCACTGCGACTCTCTTTCTCGGAACCGCTGCTCCCATCATCCGACTCACCACTGCAGTCTTCTTCATCTCCCGAGTCCGAGCCAGAGTCGGACTGCGAGCCCACATCATCCTCCTTGGCCACCAAAATCGACGACTCTTCTTCGACAGGCTTCCCTTTCTCTTCCTGTTCATCAACTTTTCTGCTGGCAAGAGCATCCTTCAGTCCCGTGATGGTCTTATAGTACATGTCTTCCGTGTTCTGCCCACTCGTCAATCGTATCACATCCTCCTCTGCATTTTTCACGTCATCCAATGTTTTTGGAATGTATGCCTTCAACAAAAGAAGAAAAACCATCACACACAATTAAGTCAGCAATGACTTATATGCTAAAAGCTTGAGACAAATAGAT